GCACACTACAAGCCTTTGTAATAAACAAGGCAGAGACTACAAACATTTGTAGTCAAAAAAGCGGACACTACAAACATTTGTAATGAAAAAGCGCACACTACAAACATTTGTAATGAAAAAGGCAAAGACTACAAACATTTGTAGTCAAAAAAGCGGACACTACAAATATTTGTAATGAAAAAAGCGCACACTACAAACATTTGTAATGAAAAAGGCAAAGACTACAAACATTTGTAGTCAAAAAAGCGGACACTACAAACATTTGTAATGAAAAAAGCGCACACTACAAGCCTTTGTAATAAACAAGGCAGAGACTACAAACATTTGTAGTCAAAAAAGCGGACACTACAAACATTTGTAATGAAAAAAGCGCACACTACAAACATTTGTAATAAACAAGGCAGAGACTACAAACATTTGTAGTCAAAAAAGCGGACACTACAAATATTTGTAATGAAAAAAGCGCACACTACAAACATTTGTAATGAAAAAGGCAAAGACTACAAACATTTGTAGTCAAAAAAGCGGACACTACAAATATTTGTAATGAAAAAAGCGCACACTACAAACATTTGTAATGAAAAAGGCAAAGACTACAAACATTTGTAGTCAACAAAGCGGACACTACAAACTTTAGTAATGAAAAAAGCCCACACTAGTAATTTTACAAAGACTACAAACATTTGTAGTCAAAAAAGCGCACACTACATGCATTTGTAGTCTAAAAGGCGGACACTACAAAGTTTAGTAATGAAAAAAGCGCACACTAGTACTTTTTGTAGTGAAAAAGCGGACAGTACAAACCAAACTGATATTATGTAATGACTTTCCAAATTAGGAAATATGCGAACATCGTCATAAACAACGACAACACTAAGCTAGCCACTAACTCCAGTGGCCCAAAGAGCGTGGGAAACAGTTCCCAACCTAAATGTGCATTGTGCCTGACATTAGGTGTGGCAGAAAAAAGTGTAACGCTTTTCCCAATTAGGAAATGGCTGAATTAGGAAATAGTGCGCACATCGTCATTAACAATGACAACACCATGCTAGCCATTAACTCTTCTGGCCCAAAAAGCGTGGGAAACAGTTCCCAACCTAAATGCGCACTGTGCCTGACATCAGCTGTGTCTGAAAAAAGTGTAACGCTTTTCCCAATTAGGAAATGGCCCAATTAGGAAATAGTGCGGACATCGTCATGAACAATGACAACACTAAGCTAGCCACTAACTCCAGTGGCCCAAAGAGCGTGGGAAACAGTTCCCAATCTAACTGCACACTGTGCCTGACATTAGGTGTGGCAGAAAAAAGTGTAACGCTTTTCCCAATTAGGAAATGTCCCAATTAGGAAATAGTGCGCACATCAAAGCGGACACTACAAAATTTTAGCCTCAACTTCAGTCAAAGCTATTGGTAAATATATATAAACAAACTTCGAAATGAGGGTTTTCTGCCTTCCTCTGCCTAAATAAAAATAGATTATGGTTCCTGATACCATGGTATGGTATGAGGGTGCATGGTATGGCATGGTATGGTATGGTATGGGAGTGTGATACCATGGTATGGTATGGTATGAGG